TTTGAAGTTATTTAGTTACTTTGTGCTAGAGTTGGTGTCCTTTAGGAAGGTTGGTAGGGCCTCTGCCGCAGTCGATGTGGCGTAGATTCTCACCCTGCTTTTCATACCATTCCATACCTGAATAACAAATAATAACATTGCATATTATAGTGATATGAGTTCTGGTACAATAACGGTGAGTGATCCATTCACTGTATCCTATTACCTCTCATTATGACTCACCTTTTGGGATCTATTGCGGGGCCACAAAATAGCCACACACTCGCACCAAAGGCGTGCTGATAACACGCGCTAACAACGCCGAGCGAAGTCATTCTCAAGCCAAATCTCTGTGCGATTCGAATTCCAGCAAAGATGGAGCTGGCTTACAGTGGTCGCTCGCCGTCCGACCGCATCCACATTGGCTGAAATACGAGCATCATTATTAATTCTACATTGCTAACATTTCGAAATTAATAGTAGTTAGCGTACCTATTTGATTGTATAAAAAGATACTATTTTATTAAATAGAATATTAAAACAGGAAAACAATGTGTAGGTACTTACCTCTGCGTGTTTTATCTACAGCAACAACACACTAAATTCAATTAATTTGGTTCAAATGACAACTCATATGTTTGTTTACAATATAATTTAATTACATTTCTTTTACACACTTTTTTAAATCGCTCTTTTATAGACTTGAATTCGTAGATATTGACATTTCAGTGCGTTTTACGGTAAAATTTAGTCGGTTTTAGGAAGTCAAGGCACGTCTCTTAAAATTTAATACGAGGTTATAGTTTGAGGTTTAGTTGAGGTTTAGGTTCATTAAAACTGATAGCGCGATTGCATTTTGTGCGTCGGTAGAACCATTAATTAACCAAAACCATAACCTCAAATGTTGTAAGGTTAAACCTTGCGAAAATAGCGCGATTGGCCCCCAGAACTTTCGGATTCCACTTAACCCTTACCTTTGTCTCCACATCCAATGCAACAGACCGTCCTTTAACGAGAATATGTAGGCATAGTTCTTCCTCCAATCCTGAAATGAATTCCGTGGACAAACGGTATATCGTTTGCGGAATTTCTCCTCAGACATGTTAAATGTGATCGTCTTTCTGTGCTTTTCTTTTATTTAAAGCCCGTTCTTAGGCCACATCCACCTCATAAACACTTTCCAAAACATTTAAGTAACCGTGGAACATCTTTTATATACGATAAACGTAGTGAAAAGTTACTCTCCATTAACTGCCACACAAACCTTAACATTGCAAAGGTTATTCTATTCCCCCAAGGTTACATGTGAGGTTAAAACGTCAAAATATTTAGCGCGATACCAATTGGCAACGTTTTAGGTTTTGGTTTTACCTTTGACAATTAGCGCGATACCAAATGTGCGTTACGTGTCACACGTTTTGGCTTAGGTTTTTGTTTTGACAGTTAGCGCGATACGAAATGTACACAACGTGTCAGATTGGCGAGGTTGAAGGTTTTGGTTAAACCTTTGACAATTAGCGCGATTGGCCCCCAGGTAAGCGGTATGGTATTCTAGCGTATTATTATTATATTTTCTATCTGTTCCCACTTTTACCTTTTCCAATTCCAAGTTCCGTACAACTTGACACACTATATTATCAACACGCACGGCCGCTTGGTAATATTATTGAGATTTCAGATTTTTTTCCACCAATACGGCCGGATGAAGTAGCAAAAAATATATTTTCTTTGTGAAAGATGTTACTTCACGGTAACGTGTGAATATATATGTATATATATATAAGCGGTGGTAGCCCAGTGGTAAATTGGTTCCTAAGAAATCTACGGTTCGTACCCAGTGGCGACAGTTACTTACGACTTGGTCACCGTTAGTTAAGAATGACCCGTGTTATTAATAAGTAGGGCTCGAATAAATATGCAGTATAAACTACAAAATATGTACATATAATATGGGCAAAAAATCTTAAAACAAGGAAAGTATATTAAGATAAAAAAACAACTGTTATCCCATGAACATGAAGCTTTATTATAAAAAAAATCTTGGTAGCTAGGATCGTAATCGATAGGGCACAAAAAATATGGTTAAACGAGGAATCTCGCCATTAGTTTATCGTTAGAGATAATTTAAAATTACATCTTAAAATACTTTATTCCGAGCTTTCTGATTTGATATTCTACTACAAAAGGCGAGATTCTTCGCGTCACAGGTGGCTCGTAAAATGTTTCTTACCCAGTCTAACAAATTGCGTAGGCTTACGGAATCTAGATCTAATTCTTTCGTTAATAACACTAACTCGCAATCAGCAATCTGTCACACCTTCAGTCCTCGTGTAAAAAATCTAACAAATGCTGAATTTTTGGAAGACGAGGTCAAATTATTAAACAATGGTTTAAATTTAAATTTAACCCTAAAATTAATAAAAAGTCATTAGAAAATTTGGCTGTGGATTCTGAGGTCGCAAATGTTCGTAATAGCAACGTTGTAGATACTAAGGCATTAGTAGCAAATACAGTTAAAACATTTCAAACATCTCAATCTAATTCTAGTCACCGGGATACGTTGCTATTTTTTTTTATATAATAATAACGCACGCACTCAACATAGCCCCGCACTAGGGAAACCCTGTGTCGCGGGTGCTATGGACACACACATAGACAACCACAAATTACACCCAAACTCACGAGAGAAATAAATGTAGGCCATATAAATATTTCTCCCGGCCCGGGAATCGAACCTGGGACCTCTGCGTGGCAGTCCGGCATGGTAACCGTTCGGCCACGGAGGCAGTCAAATGTTACGATCAATTCAACAAAATCAGTTCATGACAATAATTTGGTGGTTTCAAAGGCAGACAAAGGTAATTGTATTGTTATTTTGGACAGAAGTGAATATAATAATGAAGTTTTAGATGTTGTTCAAGATGACGGTTTTTCGGTCTTACGTAAGGACCCCACTGCTGGATCAATGAATCCACAAGCACCAATTCTTTACGGTCTTCCAAAAATTCACAAACAAAATATTCCTATCCGCCCAATTGTTTATACGTAGGTGCTCCAACTTACGAATTAGCTAAAAAACTAAATATCATTATTCGGGAAAAATCTTCTTTCAAAGGATCAAAGACATCAACATACCACATAACGCAAAACTACTTTCTCTGGGTGTAGACAGCTTGTTTACTGATGTACCCTACACTTACATTATAAGTATTCTTAAAAATCACTTAGAAAGGCGGCGTCTACATTCAGGGGAAGTAGAAGAGTTGATGGAATTGAGATCTCTCTGCATGAAACAAAACTGCTTTAGGTTTAACGGACAATATTACTGGCAATGTGATGGTCTAGCAATGGGTTTACAAAACGTCTCAGTCCTTTAATGGCAGACACATTTATGGATCATTTTGAAACTCAATAGATAATAGATAGAAAATAGGTTGTAAATAATGAGCACAGTTTGATTTGTACATCTCGGTCCAGTACATTTGGTCCAGCCATCCTGGCGGACATCTCAACGGTTAGCACTGTATGCACTGGAGCTTTTGCAAATTTGGTTCTGGTTTGGGCGTCTGTTGGTCTGGTAATAGTACAAGGAATGAGACCAGGTAATCGGTATAGTCTAGTATTATTATATTATATCCGTTAGTTACCTCTAACCCAGATTATGAAGGCTGTAAGAAATAAAAACGAGTATTTAGGAATAAAATTTATTTTCCCACTTTAGCTAGGACATTCAGACAATTGTTGCTTACGTAGAAAGTTACAGCGTAATTCTTATTAGTACCACCGAGTATAATCAGATTATTACAATTAAATATTTTAGAGGTTCTAAATAATTTTCACATGAACTACAAAAGCACGTTTAGTATGTTACTTTTGAGACAAGTTAAAAACATAAACGGGGTTATTTGTAAAATACTAATATCAACACAGGACTCTACTAACATCATAAATAACAGCTTTTGTTCCATGACTTTTAATCATTCAAATTCAAGTCAGATTTAACTTTCATTCAAAAATAAAAATATTGTAACAAAATCACACATCGTGCAACAACACAAATTAGTTCGGTCGCACACCGGTGTTAAGATTTTCCCTTGCAGTATGACCATTATCGGTGATTTGAACATAATGTCAGGAGACTACTACCTATCTTGTAGCGCATCTAGTACTGCTTCCCTATTTGGAACAGCGCTTTAGATCGTTCAAATCTAGTACCTATCGCTAGTTAAGGATATAGTACACCAGCGGTTGCACCCAGAGTCGCTTCCTATTTGGAACAGCCTATGGGACTTCCGTGACGTGTCGTCTAGGGTAGTAGTTTCCTACTGTACGTTATACTGTTCTATTGTAATACCTGTTGTACCGACTGTAATCAAGCAATAAACTTCTGCTATTCGAAAGAAGTTTAGTTTTCTCTGTCACCCGTACTACACTTTACTACAATATTTAAATAGATCGCTCTAAATGATAACTCTTTGAAAAACGCGGTAGTCGACACTTGCATGTTTGAACTTAAAACCTAAGTACCAAATACAGATCTACAAAGTGTCAGAGACTAGTATTAGACATAACTGGTTGACTTTACCATCTCAGTCAACCGTGACCATGATACCTGTAAAGGGCCCGAAACGTTGGTTTGTTTAGAAAAAACAAATATACGTGATTTAAATCCAGACAAATAGTTTCATTTCCTATATTTATCATGTTTTGTCAAAAATCAAACAAAAAAGTTGTTGCTTCTGATGTTAATAATCTAATCCTGCAAGGTCTTTTAAAAATAACCCAGTATTAATAAAATTTGTGAGTGATTTGAAATTTGAGAAACTTAGAAATAATTAAGTACACTATGAATTTATTTTAACTAAGTAAATACATATTTTCTAAGCTATTGTTGTCCGTTATAATATTGTACAATTTGCTTTTTAAGAGAACACTGTTATCTATATCATTATCTCGTTTAATTTAAACGTACTGAGGTCTGATTTCATTTGTTTGTTTGAAATTAGTCACCAACTAAAAAAGTGTCACAACAATATCTGATATATTTTTTTCTTGTTATGTAAATAGGATAATAAGTTAAGACGATAAAAATAATGACAGTCAATAATGTGAACATCACGAAATTAACTGACTACGCAAGCACAAGACTCTGTTTGTCAGACTTGGTGGGATAGATGAAGGCAATGTCGCTGGCTGTCATTTCAGGTCGCTCCTGGGTCTCGGCCAGTTCTCTCTCCAGCTGGACTGCATAGATGTAATAGACGAGAATGAAGTACGCTGCAAGACCTGTAACAACAAGTAATACAATTTTAATTTGATTTTGAAATTCGATCATTATTTCGTAGAGTTTAATAAAATCTTCTGATAGGCATTTCAATGCCTTGGATTCAAGCGTTTTAGGACCAGTAAACAACATTATATTTTTTTTTCCTGTGGCATAAAAACGTGTGCCAAATGCGTGGAGTTGTGAGTTCGCGGTTTGTGTACATTCAAAGCAGGTAGTTAAAAAGGAAAGATACTCTTTCTATCTGCAACCACCGGACCCAGATGATTGTAAAGAAGATCTCGGCGAGTTCGTTGAATGACAGTTCAATGGTAGTAGAGCTCCTTGTGAAAGAGTCCACCCAGGGTAGTACTGCCACTTTACCAATTTCTGCCGCCAAGCATAATGTCAGCATTACTGTGTTTTGAAGGGTAAGGGTGCTGGTGAAATTACAGGCACATGAGACTTGTCACCTTGTGTCTCTGGACGCAGTGGCAGTGCCCCTTAGATCTTTGCAATTTAAAGTTCTGAGTGGCTCTGTAATTGTTATGGACAGGCGTGTAGCTTACCATTACGTCCCGTCACTTGATGTTATAAAAAAAATTTGATATTTTTTACTTTATCCAGGGTAACTGTTTGATATTTGATAGGAATAACACTTATGTACAGCTAGTTAATTGGTGAAGGACCTCAAGTATGCTATTTGAAGACACTTGACGACAGAAGGGTCCTGTCTGATTTGGTTTTACTGTATGACATTATTCGAAACCGGATTCTCCTGAGCACGTCATTGGCATTGGATTTTCGGTCCCACGCTATCGCACAACACATACACTCTTATTTAATGTACCCCATCATTCAACTAATTATGGATAAAACGCAGTGCTTACAAGGTTATGCCGTACATATAACATATCTTCCTGATATAGATTTGTTCACTGAGTCAAGAAGAACCTATAAGGACTTGGTATGCAAGAAAATTGCGGTATGGAATGAATCGCAGAGTCAGTAATGATGGTTGCCATTATTTGATTAATAATAGGGGTTAAAGTATGAAATTGCCGATTTGTACTGAAAATC